ATCCTGCCACCTGTTGGCAGCTCAGCGGTTGCTCAGCTCAGGCTGAGAATCGAACCGCTGTTGCTCAGAGCTCACACTCTTGAGTGAGCTCTTAACCACTGAGCCACTCGGCCAGCCCTTGATTGTGCTTTTTAATCCCCTCACTTCTTCCTCATCCCCACTCCCCTCCCATCTAGCAACCCTCAGTTTTTTCTCTGTGTCTCTGGGACTGTTGATGATTAGTTTGTTCATTAATTTTGTTGCTTAGAGTCCACATATAAGTGAGATCATATGGTGTTTTTCTTTCTCCGTCTGACTTATTTCACTTAGCATAATGTTCTCTAGGTCCATCCATTTTTATTTGTGAACACAAAACCATTTGAAATCCTCTGTAAAGTCAAAGAGAGAATAGGTAAGTCTTGTGGAAAATCTTCCATTTTTTTTCTAGCTAATGCAACTGATTTATAGTTAAAAAAAAACAAAAACAAATTCCGGAGGGCAGTGTAATTATGGTAAACCAGGAGATCAGGCCAAATGGGATGTGTCACGAAGAAAGAGTCCCCATTGCAAGGTACATGTGTCAGAAGTGGGCTTGTCCTGCTGCTAACAGATGTCACTTACAAGGAGCCCAAGGCCCATGGGAGACCCACATATAGAATCAAAATAAACAAGAAAGAGAGAATTTTAAAATGAATTATACATTCTCCTCTTTATTTTATTTTTTTATTAAATTATTTTTTATTATGATATACACATTTTTTAGAATTAGTTTCAGCTGTACAACAGAGTGCAATAGTTATACTTTTTACCCCTCGATGTGACAACCCCCTCCCCCATCTCCTCTTTATTTTTAATTGCTTTGTCCTTTTCTTAAACATTTTTCTAACCTTGATTCTACCCAGAACTTCTCTTTAATAGTTAAAATAATATTTCCTTTAAGAAATTGTAAACTACTCAACAAACTTTAGAAAATAAAGCAAAGTAATCAATCATGTCCCTATTATATCTTTTTGGACATTCCCAGTCTGTTTCATTTGCAGATACATTTTTACATATTTGTGATCTATATATCTACAGTTTTCATCTATCTATTGATAATATGAAGTCATATGCTTTTTTCATGTTTTTGATATATCTTTAAAAGTATATATTTTAATGACTGAATGGGTGGACTTTCCTTATTTATTTTTTATTCTCAGATCATTTACTAGACTTTACCTATTTATTAACCTAACTTCATGTTTGATAATAAGGTATTTTAACATATAAAAATTATGGAGAATGATACAGGAAGTGCCCATGTACACACCACCCAGACTTAACAAATGCTCTAATGTTACTTCTGACCATGACCTCTAGGAATATGGATCATGTAACATCAAAGGAAAGTTTGGACTTCCAGAAGTGGCTCCATCTGCAGATATTGGCTTTTATATTTAATCAACTCTGTTTTTCCAACACAGGTTCTATGATGGTCGACAGCCTGTGTTGGCTGTCACAGATCCAGACATGATCAAAACAGTGCTTGTGAAAGAATGTTATTCTGTGTTCACAAACCGGCGGGTAAGCATCCATTCTTTTTTAATTTAAAATTTTATTTATTTTTAATTTTGAAATAATAATAGATTAACAGTAAGTTGCCAAAAAAAAAAATCCAGGAAGGTCCCATGTCATGTACCCTTCATTCTGTCTCCCCCAATGGTAATATCTTATATACCATTGGTAATATCTTATACACCAAAGTAGGAAACTAACATTGGTGCTATCCAAAGAACTTATTCAGATTTTATCAGTTTATGTGCACTCACGTGTGTGTGTGTGTCTCTATAAAATTTTGTGATATATGTAGCTTTGTGTAACTACCACCGCAATGAAGATACAGAGCTGTTTCATTATCATAAGGCTCTCACTATTCTTTTATAGTCATAGTGTGTACCTTATCTTTTCCTTTTATTAGGGTTTTTAGCAGAGCAAACCTTTTTTTTTGTTGTTGTTGTTGTTTTTTTTTTTTTAAAGATTTTTATTGGGGAATTGGGGGAAGGGGAACAGACAAGTTGCTATCCTTTTGTTCTTCAGTCCAGTTGTGGAGGACGTCGCTTCACTGGCCCAAGTTGGCACCATCATTGCGCTCTTCCCAGTCGAGGCAAATAAGTCGCCGACTTCTGGACGGCCGCTCATAGCGGCTGCTGGCCACACACGGTAGCCCATGGCAACCCACCTGCCATTGCCAGCAAATCAAGGCAGCCCAGCTCCAGGTCGAGCTGTTGTTCAGAATCTTAGCTGTAGAGGGCAGTGTCACTGGCCCTCATATGTGAGATCCGAACCAGGGCCCTGTGGCATCCCAAGCCAGCTCTTAACCAACGCGCCACTCGGCTGGCCCCAGAGCAAACATTTTTGACACCGATTTATCAATTCTTTTTATGGGTTGTGTCTTTAGTGCCAAATCTTTAAACTCTTCACCTAGCCCTGGGTCCTGAAGATTTTCTCCTATTTTTCTAAATGTTGTATAGTTTTATGTTTTACATTTAAGACTGAGATCCATTTTGTGTTAATATTTGTATAAGGTGTGAACTTTAGGTCAAGGTTTTTTTCATTTCTTTCTTTCTTTCTTTCTTTTTTTTGCCTATGATGTCTAATTGTTACAGCACCATTTGTGAAAAGGCTAGCCTTCCTCCTTGACTAGCTTTTGCATCATTGTCAAAAGTCATTGGGCCTATTTGTGGGGTTTATTTCTCATTTCCTGTTCTGTTCACTGATCTATGTATCTATCCTTCACCAATACCATGCAATCTTGATTACTGTAGCTATATATTAATAGTAAGTCTCAGCATGTAGAATGAGCCATCATTTTTTCATCTATCCTATATCCTTTGCCTTTCTATACAAAGTTAAAATAAGCTGATTTATGGTTATAAAAAGTTGCTGAGATTTTGATAAGAAAGAAAATTAATTATATAGATCATTTTGGAGAAAATATCTATATCATCATCAGACTAAGTGTTTCAATCTGTGAACACAGTATGTCTCTCCATTTATTTAGGTTTTCTTTGATGCCTTTTACCAATATTTTATAGTTTTCAGCATAAAAACCGTATATATATTTTGTTAAATTTACACCTATAGTATTTCATTTTCCTTGGAGTGATTGTAAATCATATTGTGTTTTCACATATTCATTATTATTGTATAGAAATGTGGTTGATTTTTATGTGTTAATCTTGTATCCTACAACCTTACTGAACTCATTTACTAGTTCTAGAGGTTTTCTTTTTATATCCTTTGAGATGTTCAACATTGACAATTATATCACTGAAAATAGGACACTTCTATTTTTTCCCTTTCAATCTGTATCACTTTTATTTCTTCTTCCTTTTTTATTTATTTTTTGTCTTCTTACTGCACTAACTAGGATTTCCAGTATCATGTTATATATGAGTGGTATCTGTGGAGATTTTGTCTTGTTCCTAATCTTAGGGGAAAGATTTCAGTCTTACTCTGTTTTAAAATTTTTATACATTTATTTTTGACAAATAAAAATGTATGTATATGTGAATAATGTGACATTTTGATGTATGGATACATTGTAAAATGATTCCCACAGATGAATTAACATATCCATCCCTTTCATAGTTACTTTTTTTCTTTCTGATTTGTGGTAAGAACACTTAAGATCCACTGTCTTAGCAAATTTCACATATACAATACAGTATTATTAATTATACTCACCATGCTGTATATTAGGTCTCCAGAACTTATTCATCTTATAACTAAAGGATTCCCTCTTACTATGGGTTTAACTATTTTTTTTTAGATTCCACATTTAAGTGAGATTATGTGATATTTGTTTTTCTCTGTCTGACTCAATTCACTTAACATGTTGTCATCCAGGTTCATTCATGTTGTTACAAATGTCAGGATTTCCTCCTTTTTTAAGGCTGAATAAAATTCCAGTACATAGACATAGACACACACACACACACACANCACACACAGACACACACACACACACACACACACACACACACACACACACACACACGAGGTGTGACAATTAAGTTTGTGAACTTGCCACCGTGTGCTTACATTGGCAGCACTGTACAAACAGCTTGGTAAGGTTTCATGATGTTGGTATATCAGTGTCTCACAGCTGTGTTTGTGTTGACATGTTTTGCTGAGTGGCATTGGTTATTGTTGTTGCGTGTTTTGTGTGCTACCACGTGAATGTCTGAGCTTGAATTAGAGCAATATACAAACATTAAATTTCTTAAACTTGACAAGAGTGGAAAGAAATCAGGGACATGTTAGTCCAAGTTTATGCAGATAATGCCATGAAGAAAACAGCAGTGTACAAATGGATTAAGTGTTTTTCTGAGGGCATAGAATGCATCACTGATGAAGAGAGGTCAGGGCGGCCAGTAATGAGTAGAACTGATGAAAATATTGCAAAACTTAATTGAATTGTGCGTCAAAATCATCGGCTGACTCTGAGAAGCATAGCAGACCAAGTAATCGATAGAGAAACAGTTAGGAAAATCTTAACTGAAAATCTTGGCATGAGAAAGGTATGTGCAAAAATGATCCCAAAGGAGCTCACCGAAGAACAAAAGTAAAGGAAGGTTGAAGTTTGCCAAGGCCTTTTGGAGACAAAAGATGATGTTTTGGGCCATGTTGTCACTGGTGATGAAACATGGCTGTACGACCCTGAAACAAAGCATCAAAGTGTACAATGGAATTCAGCAAATTCTCCACGACCAAAAAAGTTCCGTCAGTCTGAATAAAGAGTCTAAATGATGTTGCTAAACTTTTTTAATATCAGAGGGATTATTCATTATGAATTTGTACCAACTGTTAACCAAGTTTACAATTTGGAAGTGCTGAAAAGGCTGCATGAAAAAGTTAGACGAAAACAACCTGAACTTTTCACCAACAATTCATGGCTCTTGCATCACAACAATGCACCAGCTCACATGGCATTGTCTGTGAGGGAGTTTTTAGCCAGTAAACAAATGACTGTATTGGAACGCCCTTCCTACTTACCTGATCTGCCCCCCAATGACTTCTTTCTTTACCCAAAGATAAAGGAAATATTGAAAGGAAGATATTTGGATGACATTCAGGACATCAAGGGTAACATGACGACAGCTCTGATGACCATTCCCGAAAAAGTTTCAATATTGCTTTGAAGGGTGGACTAAGTGCTGGAGTCAGTGCATAGTTTCCTAAGGGGAGTACTTCAGGGGTGACTGTAGTGATACTCAGCAATGAGGTATGTAGCACTTTTTCTAGGATGAGCTTGTGAACTCAATTGTCAGAACTTTGTGTGTGTGTGTGTGTGTGTGTGTGTGTGTGTATACATTTACTACATTTTCTTTATCATTCATATGTCCACTTACATAGAAAGCTATTATTGATAGGTAACAATTTACTATTGCCATTTTGTTAATCCAGATATGTCATAGATCCTTTGTTCCATCTTCCTCTCTTCTTTATGTCTTTCTTTGGGGTTTGATTTTTTTATTGTAGTATGCTTTGATTTCTTCCTCGTCCTCTTTTCTATATCTACCATATGTTTTTGCTTTGTGGTTACCATGAAAATTATGATCAGGAAAAAGACAGGGATGCTGCTTCTCACCAATGTTATTCAACATAACAGTGAATTCAACATTGGAAGTTCTAGCCAGAGTAATCAGGCAAGAGGAAGAAATAAAAAGCATCTAAATTGGGAATGAAGAATGCAATTGTAACTTTTTGTGGATGACATGATTTATATACAGAACCCTAAAGACTTCACATAATAAACTATTAGAATAAATAAACAAATACTGTAAAGTTGCAGGATACACAATCAATGTATAAAAATCCATTGCATTCTTATATACTAAGGATGAAAGTTCAGAAAAAGAAATTAAAAAACACAAAACAATTCTTTTTGCAATTGCAACAAAAAGAATAAAATACCTAGGAATAAACTTAAAGGGTATGAAGGGCCTATACACTGAAAATTATAAGACATTATTAAACGAAATTGAAGAAGACACAAAAAAATGAAAGATATTCCATCTTCATGGATTGGAAGAATTAGTGTAGTTAAAATGGTCACTGACTCTTCTTCTACTTGACTGGGTCAGATCTTATACCTCTCTGTTGCTGGGTTTTTTTTGTTTTGTTTTGTTTTAGCTGAGCCATCCTGCCACCTTTTGGCAGCTCAGCTCAGGCCAGGCATTGAACTGCTGTTGCTCAGAGCTCAAACTCTTGAGCGAGCTCTTAACCAACTGAGCCACTGAGCCGGCCGGGCCCTCTGTTGCATTTTTTAGTTCAGTCATTGTATTATCCAGCTTCAAAATCTATTCTGTTCTTTTTTATGTTTTACATCTCTTTGTTGAGCTCTTTTTTTTCTGATTTTGTTAAATTTAAAAGAAACTAAATTTATTGAGGTAAAATTGGTTAATAACAGTACACAGATACCATACCATGTAGGACTATAGGGATCATGAAGAATCAGGGAACATGATACCAAATGATCTTGTTGAATTTTTTATCTGTGTTTCATTAGCTCTCTGAGCTTCTTTAGAACAAGTATTTTGAATGCCTTGTCAGGGCAATTTGTTGTCTTCTTTTCTGTGGGGTCTGTTACTAGAAGTTTATTGTGTTCCTTTGATAGTGTCATGTCTCCCTGATTCTTTGTGATTACTGTAGTCTTGCCATGGTGTCTGTGCATTTGAAGAAGCAGTCATGCCTTGCAGACTTTATCAACTAACTTCAGTAAAGAAAGACCTTTACATTTGAGGTGGAGCACACTGGATTATGCTGTGGCCCTTGGCCTAGGGTGCCAACGTGGGGATGTGTGGTCGCTCCAGGTCTGGGTGGCAATGTTGGTCAGGTAACTGGGTTTATCACATCACCAACTGCATGATCCTTGGCAGCAAGAGCTGTGGAGGGTCCACGGGGGCTGTAAGGACTGTTGGTGTATTTAACATCTCAACAAGGCCAGTGGTGAGGGACTGGGGCAGGCAGAAGTGGTGGCCAAAATTAATGGTATGCAAATTGTGGGAGCTAACTGCAGGCACACATGTGCAGTGGTAAAAGCAGGGGCCAATAGCAAGGATTGGGGCCAACTATGGGCACAACAGGTAGCTCAGATATCACAGGCTGTCAGTGTGCACTCACGTGGCTACAGTGGCTACCTACTGGCACATGCACAGCAGTGGGAGCTGGTGAATGGAGTTTAGGCTGAAAGCATACAGATGTGTGGCTGCAGGGGTTAGGTGTGGGCATAGGTGTCAGTGTAGTCCACTGATAAGAGTCAGGGCTGGCTCCAGGCACCTGAGCAGCAGCATGAGCCTCGGCTGGTGCTATGTCCATGGCCAGCCACACAGGCTGGCTGTTGGCACGGATCCTGAGGCTAAGGATGTTAGTAGTGGCACTAGTTTGGGCAGCTCTGGTGGGAATGGAGTGTGGTGGAGCAGGAGTCAGGCCCCTGGAGTCTGCAAATGAAAAAACCTGTGGGGCTATCAACAGCAAAGTCTGCAGGAGATTCACAGCAGCTGTGCTGGTTGTTGGCGTCTTCTGTAGAGCAAGTCACAGATAATCATGGTCACGCTGGCCTCATGGCTGATATTGGTAGTTACTGCTCTTCTTCTTTGTTCTGAGCTGTCTCTCAACTTATCTTCTACGCCATAGAGTGGGTGTAGTGAAATCAAAGCAGGTCATTTGTGCACTGCCTTGGAATGCCGGGGGAAATTGTCACTCACCCCTGTTTTTTTCTCAGCAAGGGGAAGTCTTTCAGGCTGGGGAGTTTCCTCTTGGCACTGAGCTGTGCTGGTCTGGGGGATGAGATGATGTCGGCACAGTAAAACTATGCTCTTTATTCATTTTATATATTTATTCTCAGGATTTTTGCTTCACTCTGTTTCTGGTCTTGTTAAGTGAACTCCTGAGGTCTCCCAGACCTATATTTGTTTCTGAATAGCTGTCTAATTGTTGTTCTCTGTGAGGGTGATGGAAGCTGCAGTCTCCTACTCCACGATCTTGGTGATGTCATTCCAGGAAATTATCATTAAATGTGACGTTAGCTGTAGTTTGTTTTGTAAATGCTCTGTATCAAATTGAGGAAGTATCCCTTTTTTTTAAGTTGGTGGGTTTTTATCATGAATATGTATTGGAGATACTCACTTTAAAGCAAAATATTGTGTTGGAAAATGGAAGAAAGTCTCAAGCAGGCTGACTTCATAGGCTGGTTCCAAGATGAGAAATAGAATGACCTCTTTTTTTCCTTCTATCCCTGGTAGAAAATGTAAGGAAAAAGGATTTTCATGTAATTGTATTATTTTTTTCAGAATAACAAATATTCTTATATGTAAAGTTTAACTACTATTTTATAAAAAGTTACCATATTAACACATCACTTTTTCAAGTTGCTACTGCTATAGAGATAAGTAAAGATAGAACTGGTCTAAAGCAACATAGAGTTTGCCTTGGCTATCTGGCTATCTGCCAACAATCCCTTTCTAGTCTACTCAGCCCTGGAGGATATACTAGAACTTACTCCTTTCTATTCTTCTGGACGAGCAGTTTCCTTACCATATTGATGATTTGCATTGAAAAAGAGATTGGAATACAATTGCCTAATACCATATCAGGTGGCTGGATATCTCCTCTGCCCTCACAAGACACTAGACGTTAGGGATAAGTATTTATTGAGTATCTAGCATAGATCCTGCTACTAAGTAGACGCTCACTAAATATTTGTTGAACAACTGTTGCCCATTTAACAAATATTCTACAACTGTTGAGACCTTCAAAATTTATATAGAGCAAAATGTCTTTTGCTTTCAACCCTAGTCTACTGGCCCAGTCGGCTTTATGAAAAATGCCATCTCTCTGTCTGAGGATGAAACTTGGAAGAGAATACGAACATTGCTGTCGCCAACCTTCACCAGTGGAAAGCTCAAAGAGGTAAGAAAATAAGAGGACTTTTAATTAGAAACTTAAAGAATGCATCTGGGAATAGACTCAGAGATATAGAAAAAAAACCTGTTGGTTGTTAGATGGGAGAGGGGAGGGCATGGGGGAGAAGGCGAAGTGATTAGAAAGTGCAAATTCATAGACACAATATAGTCATGGGGGTATGAAATACAAAATGTGGAATATAATCAACCATGTTGTAAAGATTATGTAGTGTGCCAGATGGGCACTGGGCTTATCAAGGGGATCACTTCATAGACTGTGTAGATACTTGACCAATGCACTGTACAACTGAAGCTGAAGTAGAATAATATTGTATGTCAACTATAAGAAATTATATATATGTATT